CATTTTAGATGTCCTTTTCTGGACTTTTTTCAATTTGTCCCCATCTTTCCTGAAATGTAGTGCCCAGCACAGTACACAGTACTCCAGATGAGGCCTAATCAGTGCAGAGTAGAGCAGAAAAATTACTTCTTATGTTTTGCTTACAACACTCCTGTTATTACATACTGGAATGATGTTTGCTTTTTTTGCAACAGTGTCACACTGTTGACTCATATTTAACTTGTGGTCTTCTGTGACCCTAGCTCTCTAGCTACGGTACTCCTTCCTAGACAGTCATTTCCCATTTTGAATGTATGCAACTGATTTTTCCTTCCTAAGTGGAGTCCTTTGCATTTGTCCTTATTGACTTTCATCCTATTTATCTCAGACCATTTCACCAGTTTGTCCAGATCATTTTGAATTATGACCCTGTCCTCCAAAGCACTTGCAACGCTTTCCAGCTTGATATCATCTGCAAACTTAATAATAATGGTACTCTCTTTGTCATTATTTAAACCATTGATGAAAATGTTGAACAGAACTGGTCCCTGAGCTGATCCCTGTGGAACTTGTCTTGTTATACCCTTCCAGTATGACTGTGAAACATTGATAACTACTCTCTGTGAATGATTATTTAACTAGTTATACACCCATCTTGTAGTAGTTCCACCTAGTTTGTTAATGAGATGGTCAGAAGAACATAAGAATACTGGGTCAGCTGAATCAGTCCATCTAGCTGTCAGCCGACGGTCAGGGCAGTGAGTCCCTTATGACCGGCTGAAGTTCTTTTAAATTGTGCTTGGTTCTGTTACAGCAACTGAAGGAGTCAGGTTAAAGCTTAAACAGTTACTATTTATTGTTACAGGGTAAACTTAGTTGTTAAATGCTACTACTGTGTTACAGATAACACAGACACTACAAAGGACAGGACAGAAATTACACTAATAAGTCACTTACAGGTACCATGAAACCCTTTGGTTCTCTGAGCTCTTATTAAATGCATGCAAAATAGACACATAGCAGGTATATATTCTCACCCCTGCGTTCCAGACTTGGCGTGGCCAGCGTCTTTCTCTCAATCCCTCGGGAAGAAGTAGGGCGAGGTTGGGCGTCCCACAGACCTCGGGAGACAATCAATACCTGCCAGCAGGTATAGATGATTGGAGCTCAAATGGGGTGGGCGGCTGAACCTCTTTTATACCCCTTGGGTCATGAAGGCTTCTTCCTGGGCTCAAGTGGCCAATTAGGAAAAATGGCTTTGAATGCCAAGTTTCCCACGAAGGGTGCAAAGCATAATTCACACCTGGGAAAATGCAGACAATGGGCACCTCTGGTATGTGATGGGCGAAGATTCCTCTCCTGGGACAGTGCAGGTGTGTCAATTACTGGTACTAGCCATCAGGGCAACGGGAGGCCCCGGGTCGTCAGCTAGCCCATTTACTGTCTGGTTTCTGTTTATGGTAGAGTCAGGGACAGGCACCACACCTGCGTTCCCAGGGCATCAAAGGCTGACTGCCTTTCTCTTGCTCTCTGGGGGGGGGAAAAACAAGATGGGGCTCGTGGAAAAACAAGATGGGGATTTTGTGTCTGGCTACACCAGGGCACAAATAAATAGCAGAGAAGGGCGGTGGAGTGAGAAAGAGAAGAGGGAAAAAAAAAAGAAAAAAAAATTGGAGTGGCCATGCTAAATGAGGCTAATAGAGTGGTCTGTAAATATCCGGTACTTAGCTTTTTATGTCAGTAGGGCAAGGGTGGCCAACCCGTTACAGAGAAAGAGCCAAAATAGTGGTGGATAAAGTACAAAGAGCTGAAATAGACATTAGTAGACCTATCCTCCATGAATTTATCTAACTCTTTTTTGACCCTTGTTAAAGTCCTGGCCTTCACAATATCCTCTGGCAAGGAGTTCCACAGGTTGACTGTACATTGGGTGTCCCACACAAGACTATATCAAATGCCTCACTATGGTTTAGATATACCACATCTACCACTTCCCACTTATCCACAAGGTTTATTAGCCTATAAAAGAAAGTGATCTAGTTGGTTTGACATTTTTTGTTCTTTACAAATCCATGTTGTTACTTTTCACCTAATTATCTTCTATGTTTGAAGAAGGATTCCTGAAGTATTTGCTTCGTTATCTTTCCTGGTATAGAAGTTAAGCTGACTGGTCTGTAATTCCTTGGGTTGTCCTTATTTCCCTTTTTATAGATGGGCACTAGATTTGCCCTTTTCCGGTCTTCTGTAATCTCTCCTGATTTCTATGACTTCAAAAATAATCGCTAATGGCTCAGATACCTCCTCTGCCAGCTCTTTGAGCAATATAGGCAGGCCTGCCAACAGGGGAGGCAAATTAATCTCTCCTGATTTCTATGACTTCAAAAATAATCGCTAATGGCTCAGATACCTCCTCTGCCAGCTCTTTGAGCAATATAGGCAGGCCTGCCAACAGGGGAGGCAAATGGGGCAACTATCCCACAGCCCAGTGATTCAAAAGGACCTGGGGTTCCCAACCATCTTAGCTGTGTGGCAGCTGGAGCCCCAGGCAGCACATTCCAGGTGGCATTGAAGAGCTGGCGGAGTTTGGCTAGTTCTATTCTTGACCCTTCTACCTGAGGTCTTGCCCCTTCTGTGAATGCGGAGCTGCCCATCCCCCATCTTGCCCAGGGGACTGACAGTTCTGTCTGTGCCTGTGATTCTAGGATGCATTCATCAGGCCTTGGTGACTTGAAGACGTCTGACTTGTCCAAGTAATT